GGCCACATAACCTAGTCACAATTATAACCAACAGTTCCCCCTTCGGGGATGTTGGTTGAACGTGACGATTTTTTTTTCTTCAGCAAAGCACTACAAAGTCGGAGTGCATCTGTCTGAGAGAAGAGGAACCAATAGTCTTGATACCAATGAGCCAGATCTTTAAAACGGATGTGCACCTAGATCCCAGGTTCTGGAACTAGACCAAAGATTAGAAGTAGGCAAACCACCAGAACATTTCGCTAGAATTCACAACTAAGAAGAAGAAAAAGAAGAAGAAGAAGAAGAAGAAGAAGAAGAAGAAGAAGAAGAAGAAGAAGAAGAAGAAGAAGAAGAAGAAGAAGAAGAAGTAGATCCCAGGTTCTGGAACTAGACCAAAGATTAGAAGTAGGCAAACCACCAGAACATTTCGCTAGAATTCACAACTAAGACGAAGAAGAAGAAGAAGAAGAAGAAGAAGAAGAAGAAGAAGAAGAAGAAGAAGAAGAAGAAGAAGAAGAAGAAGAAGAAGAAGAAGAAGAAGAAGAAGAAGAAGAAGAAGAAGAAGAAGAAGAAGAAGAAGAAGAAGAAGAAGAAGAAGAAGAAGAAGAAGAAGAAGAAGAAGAAGAAGAAGAAGAAGAAGAAGCTACACTGTTTACAGTTAATCTTCTATAAACTAGAATAAAATCTTCCATCCTATTCTAATAATATTTTGTCCGGATTCAAACGATCAGTTATTGAGCGTTTAACGCGAATTTATCTACCTAGTTAAAACCCGTCTGTACTCACGAACACCTGTCACTTTAAACCAGTAACTTTGCCTAATGGATAAATCCCCCCTCCCCCTTCACCCCCCCCCCCAAGCTTTTTCATGTGTCCACCCTGTACATTTCCAAATTACGCGTCAATTTCGTCTGCTTGGCTCATGCATATTTAAGATTCAGCAGTCCGCTACCAAATTAGGAAACGGAAATGCCGCCTTTGAAGAACACCTCTTGAAACAACTTACTTCCATTCCAGCGTCCCTATATCAATTTCATTTTCCTCAATGACTGTGTCTCAAAACCTTTTTGACTGACTGACTGACTTTCTACCCCACCAGGACATCACACAAGCGATAAACACCCGATGACACAATGTGCCACCATGTGGGTGAGGATAACCGTGGAGAGGTCATAGAAACCGTGTTCAGCCTTTAGACCATATTTATGGCCAGGCTATATTGCGGCCCCTGGCAAAAGCCAAAGTAGGGCTTCAAATAACGAAAAATGTCATCCTGAAAAGGACGAGAAGTAGGTAAAGAAAAGCGCCGTGCTCCCATGAACAACAGAAAAACCTTTTTTGACTGACTGACTTTCTACCCCACCAGGCCATCACACAAGCGATAAACACCAGATGACACAAAGTGCCACCATGTGGGTGAGGATCACCGTGGAGAGGTCCCAGAAACCGCGTTCAGACAATTGGCTATATTTATAGCCTGCGTATATTGCGGCCCCTGGCAAAAGCCAGAGTGGGGCTTCTAATAACAAAAAATTACGTCCTAAAAATGACGTAAGGTTAGGCTATATAGACAATAAACCTTCCTTTTTCTTGAGAAATTGCTTGTGCGAATCAGCGAGAAGTAACATATGTGAACAAATCTATGTAATATTCTTGATAATAAAGACATTTTAACCAGAATTTATAAAAACACCTATTAATTTGGTTCAAGCCTTTGAGGTTATTAATGTATTTATTAATGCTCCTTTTAGAGATACATAACAAGAACACGTATATTTGCAATGTACAAACACATCTCGACATGGTTACAAATGTAATTATTTCCCTTCCTTCTTGTCAGGAAAAACAATGTTTTCAATGGTCAGTCTTAGACGACTTTTGCAGAGATAGAGACCAGAACCTGATGTTTTCTTCTTCTTCTTCTTCTTCTTCGAGTTCACTGTCTGTAAACTCTGGGGGAAAATGCACAACACAGCATATGCTAGTGACTTTGCAGCAGCCCAAGACTTGATACATTGAATGATCTCTTTGATGGATGATGTCTGGGAGAACTAATGGATATATGACGGAGTTCACTGGTGCCGCGTGTGTTAACATAGCTTCTGCTAGGTTGCCAACTGGCAGAGTCATTGATTATTTGGCTACGATAGGCAGACCACTTGTTTGCCCATGGTGCTTTTAGCTGTGTCGAAATCATGTACCGAAAATATGTAAGACAGTGCTATAAATTCAGTGCACATTCAGGGAAACTGCACATAAACAACCTCACGGAGAGCCGTATATAACCGTAAAATCCGATAATCAGTCCTTAGGGATATAATTTAGTCTACTGTTTAAAAGTAGCTTGCAGTTATTGCAGTATATAATAATAATAAATATTAGGAGCCATAATAGCAAACTGTTTACCTGACAAGACAGTTCATTCAGTCAGCTGGAATGACAGGATTAAAAAAAAAAAGTCTTATATTTAGATTGTAAATATTAATTAATAATAGAAACTAGATATTTCTTTACAATACCTTAAAGGTGAAGAAAAGAAAAAAAAAAGTAAGTGAGTATAATGGTGTTAGAAAAAATTGCTATAGCATACCTATTGATCTAGATACTTTACATCCCGGCTTATTTCTCTTACAACATATTTAAAAAACAAATCTTGATTTGTAAACAAAAAAAAAAAAAAAAAAAAAAATAATAAATAAACATTCTCCTCAGTTCATGGTTTCTTTCTTCCCCGCAATTGTCAGACTCATCTCTGAAAAATTTTGCTGTTATGATTACAGTGTATTTATCATTGTGTATAGATACTTTATAAACAAATGCCTAACGAAATTGATAAACGTTAACTAGTATGAACTCAATAAAGTAGAGGCCAGTAAAGGTATATGAACTCAAGAAAGGTGAGGTAAGTAAAGCTATATGAACTCAAGAAAAATGAGGTAAGTACAGGTATATGAACTCAAGAAAGGTGAGGTAAGTAAAGGTAAATGAACTCAAGAAAGGTGAGGTAAGTAAAGCTATATGAACTTAAGAAAGTAGAGGTCAGTAAAGGTATATAAACTCAGCAAAGGTGAGGTCAGTAAAGGTAGATGAACTAAAGAAAGGTGAGGTAAGTAAAAAAGGTAAATAAACTCAAGAAAGGTGAGGTAAGTAAAGCTATATCAACTCAAGAAAGGTGAGGTAAGTAAAGGTAAATGAACTCAAGAAAGTTGAGGTAAGTAAAGCTATATGAACTCAAGAAAGGTGAGGTAAGTAAAGGTAAATAAACTCAAGAAAGGTGAAGTAAGTAAAGCTATATGAACTCAAGAAAGGTGAGGTAAGTAAAGCTATATGAACTCAAGAAAGGTGAGGTAAGTAAAGGTAAATAAACTCAAGAAAGGTGAGGTAAGTAAAGCTATATGAACTCAAGAAAGGTGAGGTAAGTAAAGGTAAATGAACTCAAGAAAGGTGAGGTAAGTAAAGCTATATGAACTCAAGAAAGGTGAGGTAAGTAAAGCTATATGAACTCAAGAAAGGTGAGGCAAGTAAAGCTATATGAACTCAAAAAAGGTGAGGTAAGTAAAGCTATATGAACTCAAGAAAGGTGAGGTCAGTAAAGCTATATGAACTCAATAAAGGTGAGGTAAATAAAGCTAAAGAAACCTTTATTTTTTAATTACTTCAGGTGTATTGGGTAAATAGTGCTAGACTTATATTTTACAGAACGATCAGCTCTCGCTGGGCGATGATGTCAATTTCAAGCCGGCGCCTTTAATTTCCATAAATTTACTTGGTACCCATTTATAGCTGGGTCATGCTTGAAGACAATTTCATTTTGAAAAAACAAAAAGTCTGGCTTTGCTGGAATTCGAACCCACAACTTTTGGAAGCGAACCTCTAGCCGCAACACCACGGCGGCTCTAAAAAAAAAGTGAGAAATAAAACACGTCTGGACAGCTATGCCTATAATCACATTATACGGCAAAGAAGATGGCCGTATATTGGACACTATATGTAAAGACATAGAAAGAGAATCCTGAAGCAGGCGCTGGAATGGGAAACCAATGTAAAAGGGGAACTAGGACGTTCAACAGAAACCCCAAGACGAACGTTGTTGAGAGAGAGGTCAAAATTGTTGAAATGGATTCCATTCATGATATCGAAAGGACCACCGAGGATATAAGGGAATGGAAGGCTTGGCCGTCAGCCCTCTGTGACGTATCACTAGACAACAGATGATGGTGAAAATGATGATGATGAAATCTCATTTATAAAACTGGTATTCTTAAATGCATATGAGATGACAATATGCAGACAACGCGGAAAACCCCCTTATGGTAGGATAAATGTGGTTTCTAAGAAAAGTGCAATGAACATTAAGCAAAACCGTAAACTTATCAAAAAAGATTAGTCCAAGCAGTCAATGTATTTTCGCGGTACTGCCCGGATAAGTATCACAAAATTCTAAAATTGTCTAGTACCTATTTTTATGTTTCTTTTAAAATGTTAGTCAGGCTTCAGATATTTTTCTTAAGAATTGACACAAACAGCCTAATTAACTAATTCGTTATTACTTGTAAATAGAATGCTTGGTACTGTTACGCATTCTTTTTTACTGAGAATATTTTCTACATTTGCAAAAATGTATTATAAATATGTGTGTAAACAGTGGTTAAAGAACAAAAAAGCAAAAGGTATCTGTTTTATTAATAAAGTTAGTGGCATATCCTTTGCAGGACGTGGCAAACTATTGTCAGAATTTGTTGACTGTTTATGTGTTTACAAGGCTATGATTCCTTCTGTAGTTTGTCACTGCTGACTGAACGGTCAGAATAACTGTCCGAATCAACTTTGATTGGCCTGTTCTCTGTTTCGTTTCGTCTCGCTTCCTGATGATCTTGTTGCCGGCCATATAATTAGTCTGTGTTCGTTTTGACTCCCCTTTAATTGTTTGTCTTGGTTTTTCCCTTATAGCATTCTTATAAAGCTGTAATTATCCGCCATCATTTAAAATATATTGTGTTACATAATTTGCTGGCGTACCCCTAATATTCTGTTTCGCTGGGAGGCGGGAAATGCGAAAAGTAAAAAGCCGGGCTATCAAATCTTGGGATATTTAACATACTGGCACAGATGCCAGATATGTATACATCTTCCAGCCAGAAAAGTGGAATTCTAAGTGATGCCTCATATAATAATTTGGCTACTGCCGTGGGATAGCCCTGGCTACCACCGTACATGAAGGTAGGAAACTTGTCTTCCCCATACAAGGAACGTGGGATATACCACTTACTCTTAGCGATGCGCACTGGAGTCAGTTTTCTGGAGACCTTCCCTAAAATAAACAAGGGGACTTCTTGTTGCTTCTTGTGTAGCTCTGTTATCATCAGGGGAATATTAACGTCACAATCATCGTCTGTTTTTATAACAAAGTTGGCGTTAGAGCAGTAAGTACTAACCCATTTTAGAATAGACACTGTTTTAATGCTGAGATTTCTGTACGTGTCGAGGTACGTGCCTTGTACAATATCGCCATACACCAGCGATTCGTTGTTCACCATTTCTTGTAGGCTTTGAGAGTCGTCCCCAGTGGGCAAACCGAGGAAAAATAGCAGGACTACTTGGTTGATCTCATTCCAAATCCCAGCATATCCACTCTTAATAGCATAACGAAACCTGTGTCGGAAGTTGACGTTTTTCACAGCTGAAACCACACAGAGAACAATCTCCACAACCTTGTTGGCGCACACATGTAGCGGATTGATCCGATACCCGTAATGATGAGAATTGACTATCTTGTGTCGGCGAACACTCATCAGTTTCCGTGCTATAGCTTCTTCTTTGGTTCCCGGCTTTAAAAGTCCCTCGCGCAGATATGATGGCAACGTTTGGTTAGAAAAGTAGCCTTCAGCTTCATGTATTTCATCATGAGATCTGTAAGTTGGACGTGCATCAGTTACAGATCTTGTCACTGATGTCGCAAGAAACTCTAGTGTGTGTGTTGTAGACGGCTTCTGAATATCTGTATGGAAGTTTTGAGCAAATCTTAGATGATAGAAACCATGTGCAGGGGACACTGCATTCAATCTCTGCTTATATGTGGATAGGAATAGACGCGCCAGGATCGCCACATTGCTTAGGATGGTTACTGATACAGCCAGCAGGGCGAAAGAAGACCACCACAGCTTTCTCTTAGTACACGAAATACACCGCATGCCTTACCAAACTCTTCATGAACCTACTTAATTTCTGTTCACAACAGCAATTTTGCAACATAGCACACATAATTATATATATTGCCCAAGAAAGCATGGAACAGTAATGACTAACACTGAATGTTAAATGTAACTATATTTCCAGAAAAAGGTCAGATCCCGGGGTTATAGAAGTAAAGATCTGAAAACCGTGTCCTTATTTCACTTGTGTTGGTCTGAATCTTCAGAATTAGTGCGTTTCCGGTTTGTTGGGGCATTGTGCGGTTTTTCTGTAAGTAAATTGCGTCATTGATACATGTGTACGCAGGTGTATAAATTACTATTATTTATTAACAGAAGCAGCACGAGAGATGCATTCACCTGCTTTAATGGGCACTCACAGAAGTAGAATAAAGAATAGTATAAAGTATGTAGAGGAAAGTAGAAGAAGGGAGTAGAGGAAAGAATCAGAGGAAAGAAGTGGCGGAAAGAAGTACAATCAAGAAGCTGATGACAGAAGTAGAGGAAAGAAGTGGAGGGAAGAGGCAGAGGAATGAAAGAGAGAAGGAAACTTGAGGAAGGAAGTGAAAGAACGAAGCAGGGGAAACGAGTAGAAGTAAAAAACAGAGAAAATAAGTGGAGGGAAGAAGTGGAGGAAATGAAGTGGACAAAACAGTATTAAAAAGAAAAAGATAAATGAAATAGTTGGGAAAAAGTAGAAGGAAGCAGAAAATAGAAGTAGAAGAAGGGAGTAGAAGAAAGGAATAGAGAAACGAAGTAAATATCTTGAACTTAAAACGGGACATCAGAACTACTGTTTTCGTTACCTGTTCCCATCGCGCTTAGGAATGCCCTGAGTCCTGTGATGCCAATTCTGGACTCAGCTCAACTCAGCTCAACTACTATTTTGCATTTATTAAGAGTCATCCCGGGAAAACAATTTACCCCCCCCCCCCCCCCTCCCCCACCCGCACCCCATCATTCCCCCCCCCCCCCCCCCCCCCCCCAATTATTATAACATTTTTTTTACTAAAGCTATGACATCTACCAACGCATTCGGATATAAATAAGTGTGCACGTTCTATTCTCGAGCATATTCCTAGAATTTTATAAAATGGGGCAATTGGCGTTTTCGTTTTTTGTGTTTTGAGTACCGATAGACGACCGAATGGCACCTAAAAAAACACGGAAACATATATATAGTCACTCAAGCAATGACGTAACCCACTGCCAGTGTCTGAAACCTGCTTCAAAACGACGGATTTTACTCATGGAAACACTTAGTACGCATTCGTTGAAACTGCAAAGGTTTCTTTTTTCAACACATAAACCGATGGACAATAACAATTCACTTGCCAGGTCAGAAGTTTATACATTTTATTGCAACAGAGACCTCAATAATATATAACCAAATGACTCATCGGAAGCCAGAATGGGCCATTGTCAGTGAAAAGCTGTTCGTCTTCCGCGTAGATGGGTGAAGTGAAGAAAACGAATTAGACCGACCAGTGCAGAAGTGGAGATGACAGGGAGGTAAAAACTAAATATACACACACAGGAGTTGAACAGTCTTAGACCACGAGGCAGACCAAGAAGACAGTGGAAAGACAATATCTATCAACACCTGTATCACCAGCTGGATAGAGAAGGTCAGTCAGAGAAATGAATGAAGGCGGGTGGTATCAGCAGCAATGAGCCTCAAGGGATCGGAATGCTGAAGAAGCAAAAGAAGTGCAGACTATCTATCTAAAATGGCCAGTTACTACTGCCATCATATTTTCGGTTAACTGTGGCGCGCGCATGTGTGTGTTTTTGTACATAAGTATGTATGTGTGTGTTATGTATGTGTGTGTATGTATGTGTGTATGTATGTGTGTATGTATGTGTGTATGTATGTGTGTGTGTTTCTCCATGTGTGTGTGTGTGTTGTGGTTCAAGGCTCTGAAAGTTACATTCACTATTTGTAATCTGTATGGTTGTTCAGTGGCTTTATTGACGTTAGTTTAACTCATCTTTTATAGTCATCCCCTGGTGGGATGTAATTTTTCGTTATTTGAAGCCCCACCCTGGCTCTTGCCAGAGACCGCAATATAGCCCGACCATAAATATGATCTAATGGCTGAACGCGGTTTTCGGGACCTCTCCGCGGTGATCCTCATCCGCATGGTGGCACTTTGTGTTATCGGGTGTTTATCGCTTGTCCTGGTGAGGTAAAATGTACTACTACTATTTTGCGTCCCTTTGCACTCGCATCAGACCTACTTAGTTCGTGTTAGTTAACGATGTGTAATGCTTTCTGAAAATATGCCTAAAATATATGACCTCCTGTTTGTGAAAATATTTGGCAGAGCATTTCATTTCTTCAAAATAGAATGGTTTCCACGCAATGATTAGCACTGTCCCATCCCATGGCATCCTTTCCATAGCACAAAGGTTGGGCAGTATTGTAGAGACCATTTGTTGCCCGTGCATCATGATCCATCCCTCGACCTGCCTTGTTTACTCCAAAGGAAAGGTAAAACCAGTACGTTTGGAACAAAGCAGGCTGCAGAAGCTGCCGAATCAGAAGAGCAGTGCCCTATCTCTCCGCCTGTAGGAGCTTCCCTCCTAGACCAGCTGCCAGCCAAGGCTAAGGGCCTGGTCTGCCCTGCCATAACAAAGTTTTCTGGTTGCATTTCTTCTTTCGAGGATAAGGCCAGTATTCTCCCCAATGCGCTCCTCCGCCCGAAACCGTTGGCACAATATGGGATGTTAGGTTTGCTATACGCCGCCTAACAAATAATTAATCCACTGAACTGTCACTAAGAAGCTTAATGAAAAAAAAAAAAAAAAACAAGGGGGGAAATGGTGGGGGGGGGGGGGGGGGGGACAGAATTGTTAAACATTTTGGTCGGAGCCTTTCTCGAGATAAAAAAGCAAAAAGGGGCAAAGTACCCAGGGTTCGTTGTTCCCCTTTCCCCTCGCTGTTTTTTTAGTCACAGTCCAGTGGAAACCCTCAAGATGCTTCTTAGTGGGCAGTGTTATGATTTGCTGCTTCCTCAAAGTAAGCCCCAGGGATGGAAGACTCTCAGTGCTGATACTTGCAAACTGGGACCATAATTTTTCAGGCCAACGGAGAGACGACCACTTAAAAGGGGTCTGACAAAATCATGTTTAAAACTGCTCAAGATGCACTAGAAGCATACGTGCCTGCAAAGAGACTACGTATAAAAACTTTCTTGTGTATCCCCGATGTTTTCGGTATGAGAGATAACAAGACAAGGCACGATAGATACTGATACCCTTACGTTTAAGGAAATGGCAAAAAAAGCCTGAATAATTCCTACAGATCTTAGGTATTTGGAAATGGCAATAAAGCCTAAATAATTTCTGCAGATCTTAGGTATTTGGAAATGGCAATAAAGCGTGAATAGTTTCTAAAAATCATAGGTATTTCGAAATGGCAATAAAGCCTGAATAATTCATGTAAATGCTTGGTATTTGGAAATGGCAATAAAGCCTGAATAGTTTCTAAAAAAATTTGGTATTTGGAAATGTCAATAAAGCCTGAATAGTTTCTATAAATCCTATGTATCTGGAAATGGCAATAAAGCGTGAATAGTTTCTATAATCCTTGGTATCTGGAAATGGCAATAAAGCCTGAATAGTTTCTATAAATCCTTGGTATTTGGAAATGGCAATAAAGCGTGAATAGTTTCTATAATCCTTGGTATCTGGAAATGGCAATAAAGCCTGAATAGTTTCTTTAAATCCTTGATATTTGGAAATGGCAATAAAGCCTGAATAGCTTCTATAAATCCTGGGGATCTGGAAAGAGCAATCAAACCTGAATAGTTTTTACAACTTCTGTG